GAGCCTCAAAACCAAAAGCCGACCGCGGGTCTCTGGTTTCATTGCTCTTCGTTTTCCAAGACGGAGAACACGGTGGACTCCCTCGGAATGGCCTTCCTTTCCCAGCTGCGTGAGCTCAGCTCCGGGGCCCAGCGGCAGGGACAGTTGACCGGGAGGACCCCCGGGGGTCGAGCTGTGGACAGGGCTCCCTGGTCTGCCCTTTCCCCACCTTTCTGGAAGTGGCCGGTGGGCGAGGTGGGCCAGCTGCGGCCGCCCTTTCTGCCTGGTTGTGCTGCCTGGGACAGGGCTGTCAGGATGTGCCTGCTGTGAGGGGACCTTTGTCCTCCTTGCCCAGCTCCTCTGCTCCGCTCTTTTCCTGTCTTTTCTGGGGAGCTCTGCGCTCAGGAGCACTGCCCGCCCCAAGTACCCAGCAGTGACCCTGGGACGTCTTCAGGCCCCACAAGCATCCTGGGACCTGGTCAGGAGACGTTTTCAGCCCCTCCCACACATCAGAACGGAGGCTCCTGGTGGGGGGTGTCCGTCAGCCGCCCAGCCTGGCATCTGCTGGCCCCAGACCCAGCGCCTGCAGTTCGTCAGGCTCCCTGCATCCTGCATTCCACAACCTCGTCTTCAGTCCCACCCATGAGGAAGTCCCCAAGAGGTGTCCCAAGGGCACCTGCCTGTTCCTAGGGGCAGGGATGAGAGATTCGGAGCCTCTCCCAAGCTTCAGACCCCTGTTCCTCTCACTGCAGTGTTCCTCTGCCTTCTTGTCCTGGTCTCCCCACAGCCACACAGCGCTGGGCATCTTCCCTGGACCCTGCCTGTGCCTGGCTCCCCGACTCCCCGAGCCAGCTTAGAGTGGCCACCCAGGCTCTAGAGAGCCCACACTTTCTGTCTAGTGGTTGCTGTCCACTAACCCTAACTGAAGTAGGCTTTTTCCTGTTTTATAAAACTAAAGACCTAAACAGACAAAGCAACTTACCCAGGACCACATAGCAAATCAAGGATGAGGTCCAGCCCCGGGGTTCCCCAACAGGGCTTAGTCACTGCTCCACCTTTCACTTGTGGTCCACTCTGACCATGAGATTATTTTCTCCTGTCTCCCCCTGGTTCGTTTTTTGGGCATGTGACTCAGTTCCCAGCGAGACCAAACTTCTGTTGAGGATTCACTCGCTGCAGGGCCTATTGTAAATTCTAAAATGAAAAGTAAGACATGGAATCCTCCCAACACCCCTGGGGGAGGGTCCTATCAAATGTGGGAGGTCTTAGGAATGTGGAAGCACAAAGAGGTTGAGCCCCGTGTCTGGGGCAGCACAGCTCGTGACAAAGCTGGTCTTTGAGCACAGGAGGGTGATGTCATCCTTGGTCAGGCCTCTGGCTCCCTCTCCCTCCCCAGGCTGGGAAGTGCCCCTGCGGTGGGCAGCGTGCTCCTCCCTGCGGCCCCTATGGACAGGCAGTGCTGTCTATACTGAGCCAGGGGTCCTGGCGGCTCCTAGGGACTGTCCCTGCTCTGCTTCGATGGCTGTCTGCACTTCCCCCTTTCCCTGCGAGCTGTTTGCTGACTAGTTCAGTGTCCACCACCACCTCTGCTGACCAGGAGTGTCCCATGGGCCCCGTAGGCACCGAGCTGATTGGTAGCTGGGTTCTGGGTGCAGGTGTGTCAGGGCAGGGCTCAGGGGCCTCTGTGGGTCGAGAATGTGCAGCTGGTGGTTCCCAGGTGGCCCCGGCACAGCAGGCCTGCGTTGGTCCTCCCTGGGTCCCGGACACAGGAGGCCCCACAGGGGCCCTAGCTGGCCCCACAAGGCTGAGAGGGAGGGGGCACGGGGCGGGTACACGTGGGGCCAGCACAGGGCCTGGGAAGGGTGGGAAGAAGGAGAGGTGGGCAGGGGGACAGAAAGCACAGGCCAGACCCCAGCCGAGCCCCAGGGGGCCACAGCGGGTGCCCTCAGCGTCCACACTGCCCTCTTGCCCTGCTGGGTGCGCCCCTTCCCATGCACCATGCCCACATCTGGCAGGGCCTGGCATTGGGGTGGCCTTGTGCCCACTGCACAGGGAGGAGGGGACAGCGCCTCCCAGGCCGGCTTGGTGACTGTGCCCTGACCTTCATGTTGAGAAAGCGCCTCTGCCCTGGGCCTTGGATGGAGCAGGTGACAGGGATAGCCCCCAGGCACTGTCCTGGCACGTTTTGGACCTGCTCCTGCTGAGCTCTGCAGGGTGGCCGGGTGGTCATCAGTTCAGCTGTCCCTCCTGGCCAGGGAGGCAGCTTGGGTACCCTCCCCGTCCTGCAGAGCCAGACCTGGGGCTCAGAGGGACCTGGCGCCTCACCCAGGCCTCGGAGCTGGAGAGGAACCAAGTCCAGCCTGGGCCTGGGCCTGGGCCTGGGCTGGAACTGGGAGGGTGCCAAGCATCTTCACAAGGGTGGGAAGATCTGGTAGTTGAGTGCTCCTGGCCAGAGGGACCCGCAGCCCAGGGTTGCCTCAGCCTCCCTGGCCTGCACCTGCCTGCTGTGGGTCCTGCCCCCACTTAGCCATTGCCTTCTGGCCCCAGCAGCAGGGGACGGAGGTGACCCCTCTCTTACCAGCAGAGCTGGGCACTGGGTGGCCAGTGGGGCTTCAGCACCTGGGGCCACTAGGTGGGCAGCCGGGCTGACTGCATTTCCTGCGTGAGCCTCAGTTCCCTGCCGGTCAGCAGCAGGACCTGATCATGGTGCCCTCCGGTGGCTTGAGGGGACTGGGTGGGATGGCAGGCCCGTGCTGGGAGGTGACCCCGAATCCTGCTCCATCAAGGGCTGGAATGCCCCGTGGGGACGGTTTTGAGGCTGAGCTCAGTCCTCCCCTGCCCCATCCCCTTGGGGCCTCCTCGCCTGCTGGCCTGGGCCTCGGGCCCCAGCGTGAGCTCCAGTGCCCCTTGCTGGTGGCAGGTGTGAGGCACTGTGGTCTCCCAGGTGCACAGTCTGTCCCTGGGCTGGGGCTTATCTCCTGTCCTCAACCCCCCCCAAGCCACCTGCCCACACAGGTGTGGTCCTGGCCATGGACCACATGAGCACCTGGGAGGGTCCCCCACAGGAGCAGGGTGGAGGGTCCCATGCTGTTGCTGGGTCCTCTGAAGGTGACTCTGAGTTACGTAGAGCAGACGTGACGGACAGTTCCAGCCTCCTGCTGGTTTCAGGTGGTGGTGAGGCCCAGCCTCCCCTGGAGGCAGCACCTGGACCAGGGAAACTGAGATGCTGGGGGCCCGGGCCACTGCCCCAAGGAGGCAGGGGGCACAAGAGCCTGCCATCAACCCGACTGGAGGCTGGGCAGACCGGGCCTCCACCTGCCCACCACCCCTTCTCCGCGCCCTGCAGCCCAGCAGGCAAGGTCCTCGGGCCCAGTCTGTCCTCCCTCTCCCTGTGGCCCCACCCGTGCCCAGTGAGCCAGGTTCTGGCGACTGTGCGGACCCCTGTGCCCTGGGCCTGCCGCCCTCCGGCTGCAGCCAGGTCCCCAGCCCTCCACCCGGCCAAGAGCTGTGCAGCGTCGTGCACGGCGGGGAGCCGTTCCGGGGTCCAGGGGCCTGTACCTGAGGACTCCCCTCATTCCCAGGGAGGCCTCCTAGGTGCTGTGTGGCCAGTCAGGGCCAGGGCCAGGGCCGCCTGCGGGGCCGTGGCAGAGGCTGAGCTCCGTGAGGAGGCAGCGTGGGGCCTTCCCAGCCTCCTGCCTGGAGCAGCGGGGGCCTGGGATGGGATGGGGGGCCCTCAGGGTGGGACGGGGGCAGAGGGGGCTGGGGGCTGCGGTGGGGAGCACGGCAGCATGGCGGGATGGGGTACAGTGGCCAGTGGGTCCCAGAGGGGAGCAGAGGCTGCAGGCTCATCCTGGACAAGGGTCTGCTCACTTCTCCTCCAGCTGCTCTGTGCCCTGGGGAAGGGACGGCTGGGTCCCATGCAAGCTCAGGGGCACTCCAGGGCACTGGTCAGCGCAGGCTTCCCGGAGGAGGAGGCCAGCTGAGTGGGGGGCACGGGCAGCACCCCTGCTGGCCGCTGTGCTGGGAGGCCTGCGTCCACCCTGCGCGGCCCTGGCCCTCGTGGTGCCGAGAGCTCTGCAGGCTGCACCAGCTGGCCCCACCCCGAGGTCCTGAGCCCAGCGCGGCGCGCAGCTGACCTGTGCTGACGCCAGCAGAACCCGAGGGCCCGGGCGTCGCGGTCCTGAGACCACGGCTCCCAGCCCGCCTGGCGCCTCCGCCTCGCTCTGCCCGACGCCCTCAGGTCTTCGGACCAGGCATCTGCAGCCCTGCCTGCCCCTGCTTCTCCCCGAGGGCAGCCTCTGGGCTGGGCATGGGTAGGGCCTCGACGCCCCAGGAGCAGCAGAGACCTAGTGTCTTCCCCTCCCTCTGGGTACCGTGCCCCAGACGAGCCGCTGCCCGCCGCAGGCCTGTCCTCTGGGCCCCTCCTGCCGCCTGCTCTGCTGTCCGTCTGGGGACAGCCTCTGCGGAGCTGGCCAGCGCCTCCCGTTGACCTGATGGCGCGGTGTCGGGGGTCAGAGGCTGAGATGGCGCCTGCAGTTACCTGAGGGCCGCTGCCCTGCCTGACCTCGCTGGCCTGTGCCGGGTCCTTCCTAGAAGGTGGCCCTCTGCAGCTTTTTCCGTCTGGCCCCGCGGTGTCCCCAGGGACCCGAGGACAGGGTGTGGCTGGCAGCCAGCAGGCCTTCTAGAATGTCACCCCGCCCCTGTCCTGGTGTGGCAGCCCCAGGACAGAACCTGGCTCTCAGCAGGGGTCTTCTCTGTGTCCAGGGGGGTGGGCCCCAAGTCCCTGAGGTCGAGTCCCACGGCTGGCAGCCCTCCTAGGGGCCGGACCACCCAGCACGGCGTTCCATCTCGTGGGGCTGCTCTGCGCTGTCATTTTGGAAATGACAAGGAGACACTGTCCGAGTTGGGGACAGACACCGGCCCTTCCTGACCCTTTCCCATCTGGGGGCCGTGGGCGGTGGCCCCCGAGGGCCCTGCCCCGGCCAGCCAGGTGACGGCCGCCTCCTCCCCTTCCCCCGCAGCTGCTGAACTCGCTCTCCGTGGACCCCGACGCCGGGTGCAGGTTCGGGCAGTACTTCCGGGATGGCCGGCGCAAGGTGGACTACATCCTGGTGTACCACCACAAGAGGCCTGCGGGCGCCAGGGGCCTGACCCGGAGGGCCCCGGCCAGCGACACGGCGCTGGGCACTCGCCGCGTGAAGCAGGACCACCCGCTGCCCGGCCAGGGGGCCCCGGTGGAGGTGGACGCAGCGCCCGAGCCCCCCGTGGACTACCAGGAGGACGACAAGCGGTTCCGAAGGGACGAGTATGAGGGCCACCTGCTGGAGGCCGGCCTGGAGCTGGAGCGCGACGAGGACGTAAGGACCCTCCTGGACGGGGCGTGGGTGGGCTCTCCCAGCCCTGGGCAAGGGCCAGATGACAGTGCCACTGTCGCCACCCAGGAGGGCAAGGAAGAGTGTCCGTCGGCGCTGGAGAGCCCCGGGCCACCGGCCCAGGCGCCTCTGCTCTGCGCCTGCGCTGGCCTCAGAGCCGTGACCCGTGGGGGCCAAGCATTTCCTGTGTCCGTCGCTGCCCAGGGAAGGTTGTCCAGTCAGAGGGACAGAGGATGAAGCTGTCCTGGTGGTTTTCCTGGGTGACCTTGACCTTTCTCTGGGCCTCCGTTTCTGAGGTTGTCAACTGAGGAGACAGGTCTGGGGCCCTGCTCTGAGACCCATGATCGGGTAACTCTGTGCCCTGGATACCCCCCACCCCGGCCCAGCCAGGCCTGGCTGCTGTGGCCGCTGCAAATGCAACCACATGCAGAGGGTGGCCTGGCAGCTGCTGCCTTCAGTGGTGATGACTGTGTGCTCCTCGGCTGATGTCTTAACCTCTCTGTGCCTCCCTGTGTGTGGGTGCCCTTGATGACCTGAGCGGGGGACGGGAAGCCCCTGCCCGGCTGAGCTGTCCCTGTGCAGATTAACCAGAAACGAGCAGAAGTCTCCAGCCCAGGCCAGGGGTGGGCCAGGAGTCCACAGCTGACGTGGGGAGCGGCCGAGGCAGCGTGGGTGTTGAAAACAAGGTTGGCTTGGGGTTAAGGGTCCTCGGCAGGAACTGCGTGTCCTCGAGTGACGAGTGCTTTTGGTTTGGTGACAGAAAGCCTTCAGAGCATCTCCACCCAGGGCTGTCCACCGGGGGCCCACGTGGTAGGCCAGGGAGCCTGCCGGACACTGGGTCTCTCTGGGTCCACTCCTCCCGGGCCCGGCTGCCTGCAGGTGTGTGCGGGGTCCTCTCCGGGAGGCGTCCAGGTGTGTGAGGGCCTTGAACCGTTTGCCTGGCTCCGGCCCCGATCTGAGCTAATGAAGTTCAGGGAGCTCCTCCTGATGCTGAGGACTATGGCCAGCACAGGTGAGCGCTGGTCCTCGGTCCCGAGCACCTGGGGAAGAGCCCCGTCTCCCCATCAGGACTCGGGGCCTCTGTGCACTTCCGTAGAGAAACCCACAGGGTGGGCCAGTTCCCAAACCCCCGAGGACCCCAGGCTCAGACCCCAGGCTGGAGTCCTCAACCCCGGCTGCTGGCATTCAGCATTTGGCAGCACCCCTGGGCTCTGCCTGGCCAGCTGACACTCCCAGGTGGGAGAGCCAGAGTGTCCCCGACATGGCCAAGTGTCCCTGGGGGCCAGAATCCCGCCCCCACCAGTTGAAGGAACCTGGCTTCGAAGGCAAGGAGAAAGAAGACCCAGAGGGGCCCAATGGTGGCCTGGCTCAGTGGCCCGGGGGGGGGGGGGGTGTCTCCAGGTGCAGGAGCAGCCTGGCCTCGCTCTCTGTGGGGTGCCTGTGTGTGACGACAGTGTGGCCCTGGATACAGCGGGCTGAGAGGTCACAGGGACAGGGCTCGCCTTCTCATTGGGGCCCCCACGACTCAGCATGTGATTCTGCCAGAAGGTGATCTGGCTGAAGGGACAATGGGGGTGGCTCTCAGGGACCAGATAACAGCTGAGTCATCTCTTGCGGTGACAGACGGGTCTCCCCCCAGTTCTGGGGTTCTGTAGTCTAAAGTCCAGGAGTCGGGGCCCCAGGCTGCAGGGAGCCCTTCCCACCGTGCCAACTCCTAGTGGCCTCACAGTCCTTGGCTGCTGGCCCCATCTCTCCTGTCCCTGCCTGGTCTTCACAGGGCCTCCCTCTGCTGGGTCTCCTGTGCGCCCTCTCCTCGTTCTGTTCAGGGCCACACTAGTCCAGTGTGACTTTGTCTTACCTTGGCCACATCCGCAAAGACCCTGCTTCCAATGAAGGGCACGGTCACAGGTGCCAGGGTCAGGGTATCTATGGGGGATACCGTGCAACCCCCCACCAGCTGAGCACCGTGGGATGGGGGCGTGGCTGGGGTGGCCCAGGCACAGAGGTGGCAGTCAGCCTGGGGGAGGCGTGGCCCCAGCAGGGCAGGGGAGATGGGTGGCCTGGGGCAGCAGCGGGGCCAGCTTGGCCTGGTGGCTTCCCTGCAGGGCCAGAGCATGCACCAGAGGCCCTGGGGCCTGTCCCAGTGCCAGCTCTGACCAGGCCCCGAGTTCCTCCAAGGCCCCCACGTCCTCCAAAGCCCCCGCGCTGTTCAGTTCTCCACGGAGACCCCACTGCCTCCTGTGAGCCAGGAGCCCGCTGAGGGCTGGTGGCAAGTCCCAGACAGAAGTCCCAAATGCCTTGAAGAGGGAGGGGCCTTGGGTGGGCAGGAAAGGGCTGGCCACTCGTACCCGCAGGGTGGCTCTTAAAGTCAGCTGGAGAGGTGGGGGAGCTCTGGGACAGCCGAGGAAATGGCAGGGGGCCAGGAGGCCCGACTGAGGGGGCTTCCCGCCCCCTCCCCTGCCCTCCCTTTCTCGTTCTCTTGTCGTCCCCCCACTCCCCTCGTTCTCTGCCTCTCCCCCACTGTCCCCCACTCTGCCTCCCCTCTCCCTCCCCCAATCCCCTTTCCTCCCCCTCCCCCTTCCCCACCTCCGACTCTCCCTCCCCCACCTCCCTGCGGGGTCAGCTTACGGCAGGAGTTGGTGGCCAACACGTCTCCTTGCAGTGAAAATCCATTACACTGTCAAGTCCAGCCTCAAAGCCTTGGACATGAAGAATGTCCAGGGTCATTGCAGAGCAGGCCACTGGCTGAAATCCCAGCAGTGTGGCGGGTGGCCGGGGCCCACACTGCCCTGACGTGGACTTGACCTGGCTTTGGAGGATTCTGTTGAGGACATGGACCCTCCGAGTCTTTTGCTCTGGGGGCTGTTGGGCCCCTGTGCCCGCTGGCCTGCTGCCGTCTCTGGGCGGGCTTCCCTGGGGCTGGTGGGCTAGCCGGCTGTCGGTCACTGGGGGCATCTGCTCCCCATCTTTGAGATGCTGCCCTTGAACAGCTAGTGGCTGTGGCTCTGTGGTAGGAAGGAGGCTGCTGTCACCCCACGCTGTGGGACATCACCCCACGCTGCAGGAGGTCACAGCCCCGGGCAGCTGCTCCCCAAGTTAAGAGGCACCCTCTCTGGGCCTCGGAGTCCCCGTTTGTAACGAGGAGCCGGGCGGCCAGTCCCCTGGACTGGAGGCCAGGGTGAGGGGCTGGCGTGGGCCTGGGGCGGGCCACAGGGCGGTAGGTACCTGCCCCCGCGAGGCCAACGCCTCTCTTCTCCACTCCCAGGGCACAGGAGAGAGCAGCAGCCGGGCCCCGCTTCCTGCCAGATGGGTCAGACTCAAGCCTGTGGGGGTCCCCCTGTTCAGGGGCTCCCACCCAGCCTCCTCCAGGGGACCGGGAGGACAGGGGCAGGATGCCCTGGTCACGGGAAGGGGAGGGGCCCTCTGATCCTTGCTGCTTACAGCAGGTTTTGAGGCAGGTCTGGGCTCGGTGGGCTGGGCCCTGGGGCGGGGTCGCTCCTCACAGCCCTGGACGCGGAGGAGGCGGGGCTGGGGTCCTTGACGGCCAGTGGCAGGTCTCTCTGGCTTCTGAGGACAGAGAATAGGGCTTGGGGGTCTGGAAGCTAGCTGCCCAGGCCCATGGCTGCCCAGCCCTGAGCGAGGGGCCAGGCCGGGATGCCACCTGGACTGGGGTGTGGGGGACAGAGCTCCTGGTCCAGGGCTGGCCCAGAAGGCTGGCTCCTGACCCCCCGCCCCAGCTCCTCCACGGCCCTGTCCAGCCGCCTGTGGGAAGAGCAGGCGCGTCAGGGCCTCTCCTGGTCCCGGTGGTGCCTCTGCCACCCCCGTCACCGCAGGCTTTGTCTCCCGAGTCTTCTGCTAGGGCCAGAGCTGTGCGTGACGCTCCTGGTGGCTCCTTTGGTGACTTGGTGCCGTGGAAACGTTTCTGTGGCAGCGGATTCTGGACTTTTCTTTTTCAGTCGTATCTTCAAAGTCCCCGGTGGATGGTGTCCAGGGGGCCGCGGTGGTGTTGGGGACCTTTGCCATCTGGAGGCGGCAGCCCTTAGGTTAGGAATCCCGTGGCCGCTGTGCGGGAGCCGAGCTGGCGGGAGCCGAGCTGGCGGGAGCGCCTGCACCAGGGACGGGGGGCGCCTGCGGCCCCAGGAGGCTCCGGTTCTCCTCAGGCTCCCATTGATTCCTGGGAGTTCGGCTCGGTTCCTCTCCAAGCCGCGGCCGTCTGTCACCTCCCGCCCTTTAGCTTCTCTCCTCCTTGAGGTGGGGGGAGCTGACCCAGGGCCCGACTCCCCAGGCACAGGTGCAGTATGGGTGGGGCTCCCGGCCCTGCCCAGCCTGGGTCCCATCCTGGTCACCCACCCTGGAACCCTGCAGGGCTCCCAGGCCTGGGATGAAGGTGCCCTGTCCAGAGGGTGGCCCCGGGGCTGTGGCGAAGCCTTGTGCCCTCTCGGTGGCTCTCCCCTCCCCTTCTGCCCCCGTCTCCTCTCTCTGTTCAGGACAAACGAGATGACGAGCCTGTGTTTGGGAGGGTCAGGCAGATGGTAGCCTTGACGGTTCCACAGAGTGGACAGGCCACCACTGTCTAGCAAGAGCCACACCCGGCCTGCCTCCTGCTCAGCCCCTGGGGTTACGGGAGGACAATGTTCCTTGGTGGGGCACCTGACAGTGACCTCCAGGGCCCACATGTGGGGAGGTCTCCTTACCCCCGACCCCGTGGTTGGGCTCTGCCCAGGTGACCACGTCAGTAGCTGCCCCAGGAGGACTCGGGGCTCCTTCACATTGTCACCTTGGAGGCCACGGTACCTGGCTGCTCTTCTCACCCGCACCTTGTCCTGTTCTCCCGGGGGCTGACCCGGCCTCCCCGCCCACAGCGAGGCACGGATGCCAAGGCCTTTGATTGACAGGTCTGTCTTGCAGCGCCAGCTGTGGTCTGGCGGGCCTGGGCCAGAGCCAGGTCGAGGGCTGAGGATGAAGGTGTCACAGCCTGTCCCTGCGTGGAGACCAGCAGCACACCTGGTCCACCCCTGAGACCACGTCCACTGGTCTCCGCAGCCCTGAGACTGAGACTGGACACGGGGTCAAAAGGGGTTAGAAGGAGTCCTTCTCCTGAGGGAGGTGACACAGGACCCGGTGGCTCTGTCCCAAGCCTTGCCAGGTCTCCCTGTGCAGCGTGGACATGGCCAGTCATGACTGAGACGGGGAGTGTCCAGTTAGCGGGGGCTCTGCCTCACGTAGGCTCGAGCCCCGTGTTGAGGGCCTCCCTAGCCTGTAGGCCGGGCCCTGCCCTCAGGGACCATGAGTGGAGGGCAGGAAAAGCCCAGCTGGAGTTCCTGTGGACACCCCTGCGGGCCCTCCCAGCCCCTGGACGTAGGTACCAGCGGGCAACCAGCTGGGGCCCAGAGGGCACTCTGTCAAGGTGGCCCCTGCCCGCTCCCCTGGCTCAGCAGACGCCGCCCTCCAGCCCAGGGCACCGCCTGCCCCAGCTCACATCTCACCCGAGGCCGGTGCCCGCAGAAGGGCAGGCGATGCCAGGCCAGCCAGCCAGCCATGGGAGCCCTCCACGGGCCCCCGATGGACGTGCAGGCCCACAGGCGGCAGGAGGGCTGGGGGAGGGGCGCCTTGGCGTCCCTGGCCACCACAAGTCTCTCGCAGGGACCTCTGCGTTTCTGTTTGTGATCTTCTGAGAGGAGGGCCCTGGGACCGGAACGGCTCTGGGGAGCTCAGAGCTGGTGTGCGCTGGGCTCGGGATGGCAGTGTCCACTCTGCTCTGCTCAGCCTGCCCACGCCCCCCACCTCCTGTGGCTGGGGACTCGGGGTCCTGGTGCTGTCCCACACAGAGCCTGGTGACCGGCCAGGCGTGGTGCCCTCTCCCCCGACCCCAGGCCTGACTCTCTGCACTGGTGGACCTGTGGCCTCAGACACCCCCAGGCCAGGGCCAAGCCAGACAGAACCTGCCCGCCTGGGGTCTCGGGCTGGGGATGGGGGGCCCGGCTGTCCCCGGGTCTTCCTGCCGTGGGGGGCTGTGCCGTGCTGGGTACCACGCTTCAAAACGTGTTTTTTTCTGAATCGGTCCCAGGACCTCTCCCCCAAATCTCACCAGATGTTTCCCTGGAGGGACCCCCCTCAACAGGCAGGGAGCGCGCTCCCCCGGGGGGAGGGGGGAGCAGACGCTGGCCTGGTCACCCCCACAGACCCCGCGGTGGACTCTGGGGGCAGGGTTCGGGTCTCTGCCTGCGGTGAGCGGTGCACAGAAACCCATCTGGGCTTGTAACAGAAGCAGACTCTGCCACATGTGGGCTGGGGACACTCCTCTCCCCTGACTCGGGTGTCCCATGATGTCAGCCCATGAGTCACCAGTACCGGGGACCCTTTGTGGCTGGGGAAATGCTTTGAACTTCTCAGCAGGGCAGGCGTGGTCTCAGCTGCCTTGTGGTCAGGGGGAGGCGGTCCTGAGCTCGGCCTGCCCCTGCCGGTCGGGCCACTGCGTTGGGCCTGCTATGGGCACCCGAGGCCCCTGGCTCTGTCAGTTGGTTTTTTATTGCTCCGGTTACAGATGAGGAAATGGGCACAGAGAGGTTAAGCCACTTGCCAGAGACCACACAGGGGCAGAGCAGGAATCGAACCAGGGCAGCTGGAGGACAGAGGCCTCTACCCCTGAGGGCCCTGGAGGCCCCCTCCAGCCCCTGCCAAGAACCACGCATGGTCCCCAGAGGGCGTCCAGGGCAGTGCCTGCTACCTTCCAGCCTTGGGCTCCGGGCTCCCCAGGAGTGCCCCACCCTGCACACCTCTGAGCCAGGCCATCCGCCTGCACCTGGAGTGCCCTGGTCCTTCCGTGCCCTTGAAGCGGCTCAGCCCCCTGCCAGGCCTGTGCTTCTGCACACTGGCCCTGACCGTTCAGGCAGGCTCCTGCACAAGTCTCTACGGGGCCTGCAGCTGCCAGGCCCCTGAGGGGTGGGCGGAGGGGTGCACATGTCTCGGGGCCCACGCACACGTGCCCTTGTTTGGAAGAAAGGTCTTGCGGAGGGAAGTAGAGAGGCATTTCTGGAAGCAATAGGCCCACCCAATCCCAGTAGGAGAGAGACCCTAAACCCAGTGGAGGGAGGAACAGAGGGGACAAGTCACAGAGGGCAGACGGCCAGGAGATGGCAGAGCCAGGGTTGGAGTGACATGGTCACTAGCCAGGGAACATCTGGAGGCCCCAAGGCTGGGGAGGCAGGAAGCGCGTGCCCCGGCCTTGGACAGGGCTCAGCTCTGCGCACTCCTGAAGTTTGGGTGGTGGCCTCGGGGACTGGGCTTGTGTCTCTGTTGCTCTGAGCCCCATGCCTCGGGTCACAGCGGTCCCAGGACACTAATGCGACAAGCTGGCCTGCTCGGTACCTCTGTGCCTCAGTTTCCCTTCTGCACCGTGAGCCCAGCCGCAGGCCTACCTCACCCGCCACGACGCATGAGAGGCGGGGCTGGCGCAGGCACCTGGCGGACGTCCATGGCAGTGGCCGCTTACTCCCCGTCCTTCTTCTCCTTCATGCACCCCATACATGGGTGGTCCCTGCTGTGGGGGGCCAGCTCCTGTCGGCAGAGCAGGCCACGTCCAGGTGCACCCAGGCCTGTGCTGGTGGGGGGGGGGCATGGGGTGTGGCAGTGAGTCTCATCACCAACACTCATACCTGCCGGTGGGCGGTCAGCAGAGGCAGGAGAGAGAAGCAGAGAGGGGCCTGGTGTCAGGAGGGGTCCCCTTCCCCCGCAGGGCTGGTGCGGGGTCCCAGGGCCGCGTGGCTCCTCAGGACCTCTGCGCCAGGCCAGAAGCTGTGAGGCCCCTGGGCACGCGCCCTGGGTCTGCTCTCGCTGGGGGCGTGAACTCTGAGATGCCTTGCTCTCGGACGTCCCCCACCCAGGCTTTGGCTCCGCCGCGGCGGGCCGTGGCTGTGGTGCCCTGTGGCCTGTGCGTCACCGTTATTCAGGACCACGGAGAAGAGCTTCAGTGGGGGCCGGGACATGCGCCTGGGCCTGCACCCGGTGGCTCGCGGGAGAAAGAGGCCTGAGCAGACCAGGACCCCAGGAGGTGGCTGTGAGCGGGCAGAGGTGGCCCCGGCTGTGGAGGGAAGGTGCCCAGAGATTGGGCAGAGACCTAGGGGCCCTGGGGGCCCTGGTCCGCGGCCTGGGCCCCTTTGGGGGCCCTCGACTCGATTTTTCTGAAAACTCCCTTTGGGTTTCGGAGCCTCTGACCCCAGTGCTGCCCACTGGGCCCTCCCCTGGGGGAGTCCCTGTAGCCCTGTGCTGCCACCGACTGCAGGGAGGACACCCCTGCAGGAGCCTCGAGCTGTGTCCGGGTGAAGTGGGTGATGGGCACCGACGCCCGCGCAGGAGCTGCCCCGCAGTCCCCGGACCCCAGAAGTACCCAGGGCTCTTGGCGGGCGCAGCCCACCCTGACCGAGACCCTTCTTCTCTCTCTAGACTAAAATCCACGGGGTGGGCTTCGTCAAGATCCACGCCCCCTGGAGTGTGCTCTGCAGAGAGGCTGAGTTTCTGAAATTGAAGATGCCAACAAAGAAGGTCGGTGGTGACGCTTCTCCTCCAAGATACGCCGCGGGTTGAGTGTCACCCAGACGCCTGGCCACGGGGTGTCTCCCCACGAGGCTCTGAGTTGTTCAGAAAAGTCAGGGTCAATTGCCACCCCCAGAAGGGCAGCGAGGCTCAGGGGTGACGGAGCCTCCTGGGGGTCCACGTCCTGATGGTGGAGAACGTGACCCAGCGCTGGGTGGTGTCCAGAGACCCCAGACCACATCCCACCCGAAGGCCGGCGCACAGAAGCCGCCTCCCGCCGTGGGGCTGGGTCACGAGCTCAGACGCAGCACGCTGAGCCGGGGTCTTTAATGCCTGGGGGTCTCGGCTGTTTATCAAATCCAGTGTGATTACGTGTCCTGCCCCGGCTTGTCCTCGTGGTGGCCGAAGGGCAGCTGGACAGTGAGGCTGAGCCTGGCGTCACTGGCGGGGGGCTGACGCGGGGTCAGCGGCGAGTCGGCCCGGCTTCTCCTGCCCACCGAGGCCCTCGGATCCCCTCCTTGGAAACGAAAAACAAGTCCGAGAGGTTTCCTGGAGTGTGGCCCACCGAGCCCCTGCCCGAAGCTCCTGAATCGTGGAGGGTTGGTTCAGAAGGGAGCCCAGCCCTGTGCCGTCCCAGGAGAGGCCCCGGGTCAGGGCTCCGCCACGTGACGCCTGTCCCCCTCTGCAGATGTACCGCATGAGCGAGACGCGCGGCCTCCTGAAGACCCTCAGCTCCGTCCTGCAGAAGATCACCGACCCCATCCAGCCCAGGGTGGCCGAGCACAGGCCCCAGACCATGAAGAGACTCTCCTACCCCTTCTCCCGGGAGAAGCAGCACCTGTAAGTGGCCCCTCCCCGCGGGACCCGCTCTTTGACCCCAGCCTCCAGCGTGACTCCCGCAGGTGACGCTGATGCTCCTCTCCCAAGGGAAGGGGGCCTGGGGCCTCGGAGGGCTCGCGGCCCGAGGGGGACCTGTTGAGCCCAGAAGTGGCCGCGGTCGTGGGTTCTGAGCTCACCGAGAAGCTGAGGGAGGGGCTCGCTGGGGTGTGGCTCTGGGAAAACCATATGGGCCCTGGCCTGGGCCTCAGAGCAGAGATCCCGGCGTCCTCCTCCTGCCCCGCTCGGGCCCTTGGGGGGCAGGTCAGTAACCACCCCTGCTGTGGCCCGGGCAGCCAGAAGCCAAGCAGCTCAGGGAGGAAGGGATCAGAAGGTGTCCCCAGCGTAGTCCCCCGGCCCTGGGGACCCATGGCCACGCCGTGTTGCCTGGCAGTGCTGCGCCCCTTCTGGAACCTCCTGCCTCCTCTGCTCCCCAGGGCAGTGGGCGTGGCCACCTGGGTCAGCAGCAGCTGCTTGGCCTCTGCCCGGCCTGCTGGGTGCAGCAGGAGCGGGGGCAGAGGAGGAGCGCCACCCCTGGGCCTGGGGACCCAGGGGCACATGTAAGGTGCGTCCCAGGGCAGGGGCCACCTCAGGCCTCATGGGTGGACAAAGGGGCAGGGCAGGCATGAGCCTCGCCCAGGACTGGGCTTGCTGCCCTGGGACACGTACGTAGCTGGGCCATCCTGCCTGGTGGAGGCTACCCAGAGAGAAGGAAGCCACCCCACCAGCCCAGGGCAGGGCACCAGAGGTGGTGCCCCCTCCCTGCCTGGCCCCGTCCCTCCCAGGGCCCCTCTGCTCTCGGGAAGCCTCAGACAGTCTCCGTGCTACCCATGATGTTGAGACCCCAACTGCTGGTTTTCTAAACCGGACCTGGCTCACAGTAGGATGATACTGTCCCTGTCCCCCAGGGCTAAAGCAGAGACTTTAAGTGCTACCAACTCAGGATGTCACCGAGGGCGAGCAGCATCCTCAGGGAGGCCTCAGGCCGCTCCTGCCCCTGGGGCCACTTCCCACTAGCCTGGGTCTCAGAGCCATGTCCAGGGCAGAGCCTGCCCTGGTGCCCCAGGTGGACAGACCATGCCTGGCATGTGACAGTCTCACATCTAACAAACGGCCCGTCTCCTTCCCTGTCTTTCAACAGATTCGACCTCTCTGATAAGGATTCCTTTTTCGACAGCAAAACCCGGAGCTCCATAGTAAGTGGCGCGCCGTGGAACGGCCTCTCCAGCAGGGTGGCCCTGGGGACGGCAGTGATAATTTCATTTCAGTGAAACTCCTCTGGGTGGGAGCCGCCTCTAATTGTCTGTGACAGAGATAATTAGGATAATGAACTGAGAGGGCAGCAAGTGACCCAGGAGATGGCCAGCAGGAGGAGGAGCCTGAGGCAGGACAGAGCAGCAGGAGGGCAGGGAGGGAGACCTGTGCAGTCCCACACCTGGGGGGGCCTCTGGGCGGCTCCCGAGTTCCCCAGGCCTAGCTGTGGGTCCCTGGCACGGCTGTCCGAGCAGGAGGAATGGGCCGTGGGAGCCAAGTTCATGCGCTTGGATATATTTCCAGGCCTTTGCCAGAGAAGCAAACCCAGTTTGAAATCTGAGCAGGCCACCCTGCTCTGCTCAAGGTACAGCCTGCTGTTTATCCATCGGCCGCCAACTGTGCCCCCGCCAAGCTGGGCTGTGCGTGGCTCAGGCCCCAATTTCTATCTAAACAAGAAATTAGCCTCGCAGCCAAGTCACGGCCGCTCTCTCCTCCCTGCCCAGACGCCCAGCCTGCTGGCCAGGCAGAGGCCAAGGGCCGAGAGGACACTGCCTGGTTGACCTGGGGCAGATAACCAGCCCTCGCCACTGTCATCCCCAGACTGGCCGGCGGCCAACTGCTGGCCCGTGGCACAGGTCACGTTGGGGCGGCCCAGGTCCTGTCCACCCTCTTCCCGTCCCCAGCCCTGTGCCCTCGGGCGGGTCCTGGAGCCTGCTTCGGTCCAGGTGAGGCTTGCTCTGCCTGCTCCCTGGGGCAGCCGGCAGGACAGTCACGCGGGCACCGCGCTGGGGACTAAGGCACCGCCGTGGTTCCTGTTACTAATGGAGCTGCTGATGGAGTTTTGCAATTACATCTCCTGATAATAAGCAGCAAGGGGCTGGAGCGAGGGCATCGCCCCCACGGGCTCGGGGCTGGCACGTCCCTCGGATGTCAGCCGCTTGGGAGAACCACCACGCTTCTCCATCACGGTGACAGGGAAATTGGAACAGCCACCTGGGTGAGCGGAGTCCCAGGTCTCTGCACCCTGACCTCTGCCATCTCTAGGCGCCTAGCGCTCCCGGGAGCTCGGGGCAGGTGCACATGTGTGGACCCGGCCTTGCTGACAGGGAGGGGCGGAGATGACAGCAGCTCCCTGGCACCTGCTGGATCCAGTTCAGGCTGTGGTCCCTGGGTGATGGCTACTGTGAGCACCCTGTGGGCACCCGTGGGCCCTGGCTGCATCCACTTCTGGGCGGGCGGAGGGCCACTGTCTGCTCCCTACAGACCCCGGTGTGCTCCAGGGCACCCCTGACAGCCAGGGTGTGGGGTTCACGCCCGCCCTCCAGCCATTCGGAGCCTGTAGGTAGAAGTCAGCGAGCAGCAGCACCCAACAGGGAGGGGCCCGATGTGCTGATCTTGGGAAGGCACTGGGGAGCCATAGAGAGTTGCAGAGCGGGGTTTTGGATGTGGTAAGAACTGTTCTAGAGTTTCCAGGGGCTGACGGTGGGAGAGCAGATGAAAGGCTGACATGGGATCATGGTGACAGCTGCGAATGGGGGCCGTGACTGTGCAGAAGGGAGGAGGTGGTCACAGGAGAACTGGGTCAGGGCAAGGCAATCTGCTGTCGACAGGGATGTGAGGAGCATCCGATCAAAGTGGTCGCCTCATTTGGCAGGTATTTATTGAGCACCTGCTGTGTGCCTGCAGCTGGGTGTTGAGCCCATGAGCACCGGGCAGAAGGGGAGGTCCAGGGGGAGGGGACAGTGGGGGAGGGAGCTGCCCCGTGGGCCTGTGTGGGACAGGGAAGACCCTGCAGGGGCAGGAGAGACGGCGGGAGGCCGAGCCGCTGCACAGCGGGCGACAGAGACAGGAGCAGGTGGCGGCCAGGTCGGGGGCGCAGGCTGGTGGCCACTGGAGGGGCTCTGGCTTTCCTGAGGGAGGGGAGCAGAGGGGCGGGCGCAGAGCCCCAGTACGCTCCAGGTGTGCCCCGCGGGTCCGGCGACGTCCTTCCCCACTCTGCACATGGGACCCAGGCAGGTGGGAGCCAGCTGCCTGATGTCCCACAGCTCATAGGGCAGCGGGCACTCAGATCCGGCAGGCGGACTCCCAGCCAGGCTCTTGAGGCCACCGGTCGGTTGCATTGTCTGGGGGTAGAGGGCTCCGCTGGGTGCCTTGGTGCCCGTCAGACCTACCTGCCACCCTTGGCCCCTCCCCAGCCTTAGGGACACCTGGGGCTGTGTCCAGGAGGGCACCTGCTCCAGTTCACCTCTCAGCCAGAAGGGATGGTGACCGTGCCACACAGGGCTGGGGGCAGCTATGGTGCCAGGAGGGGTCCTGCTGGGTGTGGCCAGTGCTGTGCTGTGGCTGGCCAAGGGATACCATGGATGGGAGTTCTCCAGGGTCACTCACTGGTCCCCAGGAGCCTCAGACCTTTGACCCTGTGGCATCCTGAGCCCGGTGGACGTCCCTTAGCAAGGGCCACCACCTCCCCTGGGACATGCTCTGTCCCTTGTGACATCTGACCGGTTCCTTCCAGCGAAGCTGGTGCTGCTGGCCAAGGAGCCTATGGTAACTGCCCTCCCTCTCTGTCCCCGCCACAGGTCTATGAAATTCTGAAGAGGACAACGTGTACCAAGGCCAAGTACAGCATGGGTAGGCGCTCGCTGGGACTCGGGAGGCGGTCTCCGAGGGGCCAGTCACCCCGGGGTGTTCAGGGTTTGATTTACGCCTGTGTGACCGGTAGACTGGAGGGCTGGGCAGGAGGGCCGGGCAGCTTGGGGGACAGATTTACAGCCGGTGTTTTTAAACAATGAGGGCCCTCCAGTCCACATGGTTCATGAGCGTCGGGTTGAGACCCGCGGGGCGGGCGGGTGGGGAGCCGGCTGGAGCAGTCCAGGTTCCGAGGCCTCCCTGACCCTCGCGGTCCAGCAGGAAGCAGCCCGGGAGCCCCCAGGGGGCCACGGCCCAGGCAGCTCTTCGGGGCTGTTGGAAGCTGCAGCCCGGCTGGGCGTAGCTGGCTGAGGCCCTGGCCTCCAGCCCCAGGGGCTCGGATGCAGCCCACCCCCAGGCACCGAAGCGCTGCCCTGGCCAGAGGCCACGTGTGCAGATGCCCCGAGTCCACTGGGCTCCTCCAGGACCTGTTCACAGAACCCCCAAAAAGCCCCAGCTGAGAAGCCGACCGTGTCCCTGGCCCCCTGCGGGCTCCGTCGCTAATCCAGCACGCCCTGGGCCCCCGTGCCCCTCCAGCCTCCCTGCTGCCCCTCACCAGCACACAAGTCCTCTGCAGGGGCCAGGCACGGGTCACGGGGGACAGAGCCGTCTGGGAAGAGCAGAGTGTCACCCAGGCATCCCAAGAAGGGACGGGTGCCACAGGAAGTAAAACAGGGCCAGAAAAGGGGCAGGGCTCGGCAGGGGCCTCCTGGGGACAGCAGGGAGACGCCCCTCGGGGCTCAGGCTGGCCGCTGTGTCCTGACCATCATGGCCAAGGTCACCCACAAAGACAATCTTCTAGGCCTCAAGTCTCAAAGCCGTGTCCTCTCTCTGAGCACCGGGGCCCTGCACAGTCAGGAGGAGCCGGAAACTGTCCCCACTGCCATGGCAAGGGTCTCCAGAGGGGCAGGTCCTGCTGGGCGGGTGGGAAGCGGGCGCCTTGGGAGCTCAGGGCTGCCAGAGGGAAGCTGAGCACAGCACCAGAGGCAGAGGGACGCACGGCTCCAGTCCCGGCTGGGCCTGGGACTTTGTCCCCATGGTGTCCCCCAGAAACACATGTGGCTGCTGGAAGGTCTGTAAAGAGCCTGGGGTCAGAGCCACTGGGCAGAGCTGGTGTCCGGCTCGGGTGGCCTGGGGTGGAGGGTCTGTGATTCCCGCCAGACTCCTGGGGGGCTGGTCCCCTGCCCCTGGGAGGGACAGACAGGTCCGGTGCCTCCTCCACAATCCCGCCTCACGTGGGGCTCTGCCCACCTCCAAGCTCGTCCCCTCAGCTCTCAAGAGTAGCAGTGGACCCTGTCCCTGCCGGGCTCCGTCCCCAGGGCTGCGCTGCCCACCCGGCAGCTTCTACCCCAGGGGAAGCAGGTGAGCAGAGCGCAGTGCTGCGGGCAGGGAGCCGCAGCAGCGGGGTCAGGGGGCTTCCCCGCGACAGGACATCTGGGCAAGGACGAGGAGCACCCGGGCCGGGCGGTTAGTGGCAGGCGACCTTTTCACTCATGTTTGTGGCTCTAGCCATGTGCTCCCTGTCCTCTGGTTTGGTCCCTAAGTGTCCCTCAGGCCCACTGGCACTCTGGATCACGGACCCAGGGGACAGTCCATCTCTAAGGGGATTTCAGGAAGTGCCTTTCCCACCTGTGTCTCCTGGGGTTACAGAGGGCGGCCGCCCAGGCCACCGTGAAAACTCGGACACACATACACCTCGAGAGCCTCTGCCAGCCAGGGGTCTCGGGGACAGCCAAGGGCCTCATGGCGGCTCCTCGGCAGGGCCAGTCCTTGGCGTCGGAGCCAATCAGGTCCCCAGGAGCCTCCCCACCACGGCCCCCCGTCCCCTCTTCCCACGCAGGTGTGGTGTGTCGGCCTTGCGCCTGGCATGGCCCGAGCATTGTCCCTCCCCGGCCCCCGGCCCACGTCCCCCGCAGACCCCTCCCCCAGCACCTCCCCGTGCCGCTGGGCGCCTCCAGGCCCTTCCGTGTCACTAATGGCCGATGTACAAACAGGGCAAGGAGAGGGAAGAAGGAAGGACTCTGCCCTTCTAAGTAAAAGGCGGAAGTGTGGGGAGCACGGTAAGTGGGGAGCCCCCGCCTTCCAATCAGCCTCCGCCCGACTCCAAATTGTATGTGTGTTTCCGACACCATCAATTGCTCCACGGGGCCGTGATTCAGCTTCTCTAGCCGTCAGCCGCCTTTCCCGTCTGCGGGCTTGCCCTCCATCCGCCAGGGGCGCGGTGAGCGGCAGGTCTGGGGGTGCCTGAGCCGAGTGGGGGGCTGCTGGCGCCTCCTCCTCCCGGACGAGCTTCCTCGTGGGGCTTCCTCTGCCTTCCTGGTCCCGCCAATCGAGCATGTCGTGACCACGGCCGCGCGGACGGGCAGCCGGCCACCGCGGCCACCTGGGGAAGAGCCCAGGACGCGGCCGGGCTGCGCAGCCAGGTGCACTGGATTCGAGAAAGCTCCGCATGGCCGAGTGGGCCCGGGGACCTCTGGCTGCGCAGACGTGGGAGGGGGCCCGCCTGACCCGTGACCCCGCTCTGCTCTGTTTTTAAGGCATCACCAGCCTGCTGGCCAACGGCGTGTACTCGGCCGCGTACCCGCTGCACGACGTGAGTAGCCTTGACACGCGGTCGGTCCCTGCGTCATTCGCTCCCCAGTCCCAGAGGGCCGCGCCCCGGGGAGCGCCAATTATCCTGTGGTCACGGCTTCCTGCTTGGCTCCCTCCATAAATGTCAGCCGCACACAGGCCTGCCCTGTTCCCCTGGGAGCCAGCAGGCACACACGGCATCTCCTCCGGCAGAACCGTCCCCCCGCAGGGCATCTGTGGCCGAGGCTGCGCGGGCTGTACCTGCTCCTCGCGGCCAGTCGGCCCGCAGAAGGTCTTCCCTGGCTCTGGCCCCCACCGGCCCCCGCCAGGGCTCCCGCGGGGACCAGAGCTCAGTGTCTATTTCTGCAGAGGAGGTGGCCGGCTTCCTGGGCCGAATCTCCAAATCCCACTGGTATCCCCCGATAAATATAGCCCGTGACCGTGGCTGGGGGTGGAGAGAGATGGTCCTCGTCTTGTGGTCTCTATGGAGACGGGGACTGGAGTTCAACAGGGCGCTGGGATCAGACCGCGGGCCGAGCAGTGTGGGAACCCCAGGCAGAGCATCTCTGCACGTTCCCAGGGTGAGGCCCAGGGCCCAGAAGCAGGAGGAAGGAGGATGGGCCTGGGAGTCAGGAGGCCGGATCCCCGTCCTGGCTGCTCACTCTCATCGGCCTTGAGTGAGGTCAGCCCCGAGGTGTCCAGGAGCCTTGAGGTCTGGTGGCCAGGGCCCAGTGGGCACCAGAACAGGGACAGGTACCAGAGGGCTTTGAGGATGAGACACCAGCTGGGACCCCCACAGGTGCCAGAATAGTGCAGGGCAGCATGCCCAGCGGATGGGTCAGGGCAGGAGAGACACTCGGCTGACCTGCTGCCCATGCCCCCCCCCCGCCCCCAGGCCCTGCTCTGCACAGTAGGCCAGGACCTGGGGCCCCTGACCCAGCTCCTCACCTTATGCACATGCTGTTCCACCTACTCACCATGCCTTTCCCTGCTCCCCTCCACGGCAGACGGAGGGTCCACACCACGCCTCCCTTTTCTTTTCTCCTGGCACGGCTGATTTCTTCCTCCCCCTGAGCTTCTGATGTCCCTTGTCCCACAAAGACACCATTGCCCGGCCACTCTGTTGGGTTCCTGACTCAGGAAGCCTCAGCACATAGCACTTAGTAAGTGCTCAGTAAACGTGCTGTGGCTTTGGAGTGGCTGAGTCAGGCTGCCTTGGTGAAGGCCCGGTGCTCTCCAGAGGTTCTGAGGGCAGGGCTCAGACCTCACGGACCCGGGGGGCGGGGGGGGGGGGTCCTGTGCATCTGGTCAGCCCCATGCTCTGCAGGGTCCAGCTGGCCCATGGGATGCAGCCCTGCCAGGCCGGCCCCTCAGCCTTTCAGCTGGTCAGCCCTGGCCAGAAGCGGGACACGGAAGCCGAATGCTCAGGCCTCCTGCCTGCTTTGCGTAAACCCCAAGTCTTTAAAAAGGAAAGGGGAGAGATCGACATTTCTGAGAACTACTGTGGGTCGTAGGGACTTTATCTCCTCTAATCTGTTGCGGACAGACTCAGTGAGGTCTAGCAGTTTGCTCGAGGCCACACAGCTGCTCTGGGTGACATGGGGACAAAAGCCTTTGCTACTGTGTCCCCTGGAAGTACCATGCCCTCTTCCTTCGCTGGAGGCTAAGTGGCCCATCTCTCTGGTCTTCAGTCCTGCGTTTGACCTGGGGACGGATCCCACCTGCACAAGGCTTCGGCCACCAGGCCGATTGACAGAGGCCAGCCCTCAGAGAGCACCTCCGAGCCCACACGGGGACCAGGAGCCCCTGCTTGCAGTCACTGTCACATCACACCAGACACAGGGCACCATTGGTGGGGTCTGACCCCACTCTGCAGACAGGGAAACTGAGGCTCGCCACGCCCAGGAACCTGCCAGGGGCCCACAGCCAGGAAGCTCCGGACCGTGGCGCAGTGTCCTTAGGGAGCAAGGAGGCACCCACCCGTCGGCTCCAGTGCTGGCCCCCTCGTCCTGCCCTGAGCCACGCAGACCCCGCCTGCCCTTAGGCAGAGCGTGGACGGGGTGCTCAGACTGCGGCAGGAAGGGCAGCCAGCTCGGGCCTGGCCTGTGGTTTCCAGATCCTTCTGCCTCCCCAGGAAGTTGTCCCACAGGGGGGCTGGCTCGCTGCCTCTGGGCCTGCCCACAGTGTCCTCACCCGCTCTGCCGGGCTCCCTGTGTGGGCCCATTCATCCACCCGCTCCGTGGACTCTCCCGCAGGGGCCGGTCCGTTCCCAGGCAGTTCACCCAGGTGCAGGGCTGGCGTCCAGTGACAGTCACGGGGCCCAGAGACCCTGGGGAAGTCTCCTGGAACCGAGGGTGTCACTGAACCCAGGGACGCTGACATTTACGTTGGCTGCTTGGTGGCTTTGGCTTCCTTCCGGGTTGGCAGCTGCCTGCCTGGAGGTCACAGCACGGGCCTCTGGTGAACGCGAGGCTCTCCTGGAACCCCAGGGCCGGCTCATTCATGGAGCAGAGGCCGGGAAACGCCCAGGGAGGAGTGGCCAGGGGGGCGGGGGGCGGGGCCAGGGGGCCTGGCGCACCCTCTCTGTTTCACTTAAGGACCCCCGAGCTGGGCTGCTGGCCTGGGCACATGACGTCGTCTTCCCACCTGGCCGGGGGTGGCAGAGGTCGCGACAGTGGCTGGTCAGGGAGGGACAGGAGGCTGGCCGCGTCCCCGGCCGCCTAGGGCCTCCCTCTTGCTCCCCTTAGCTACTGTGTCAGCCGCTGACCTTGGGGCTCAGCCGCTGACCTTGGGGCTCACTCTTGACTTCTAGACCTTTTCTTCCCGGAATTGGAGGCCTGGATGTGAGTCCCAGGTGACCCCTGGTGGCTCTCAGATACGGCAGGTTACCTCTGTGAAATGGACGTGCTGGGCTCCCTGGCCTAGGTGACGGGGCACATGTCACTTGTCCCCCTGGGGTTGTGGGAGAGGAAGGGGGGTCTTCCAGCAGACAGGACACATTCACCTGTTGATGCCTTCCTCTGTCCCCAGAGCCCCCGTTCTCTTGTGCTGCCAGGTCCAAGGCAGGGACACGGGACTAGTGCTGCCCTCGGGGAGACTCACGGGGTCCCGGTGCCGGAGGCTGGCCGGTTGCACTCCTTCCCGCAGAGGGACACCGCCCAGGACGCCCTCGGCGGCTGTCAGCGAGGGTCGCGGGAGTTCTGTTTCGAAATTTGGCAAGTGTGACCTCAGCCTGTGCCTCGTGGTGAGACTCCCTCCTCTCTCTTCCAGGGGGACTATGAAGGGGACAACGTCCAGCCGAATGACCGAAAAGTGAGTTGAGGCGGAGCGTGGCGGACAGCGGCTGTCGGGGCCGCGGGCTCTGGCGTCGGGCGGGCTGTGTGGGACCAGGGAGGTTGGGGACCGAGTGACGCGCAGGGCCTCAGGGGCCCTCGAGTGTGCCTGGCGAGCCGGCCAGCCTGGCTACCAAGGAAGCTGCGCCTCCCCTCCTCCCCTCCCACTTTCTGGAGAATCTTAACCTCCATCCTTGGCAGGTGGCTGAGAGGTGGGGGAGGAAGGGTGTCCTCCGAGCCTGCCCCTGCCGACGGTCACCCCACCTGGCCGGGGTTAAGGCTCAGCCATGGGGAACTGCCTGCTGAGGGATGCCATGGCCTGGGCGGGCCGTGGAGGCATTTGGCCTCCTTCCAGCCTCTCCTGGGCCAATAAGTGGGCAGTGAAGTGGCCGGCTGCACAGAGCCAGGCCCTGGGGCATACCGAGAGCCGCCGGGCCTTCCCCGGTGTGTCAGGCTGACCTCCCGGAGCCCTTCTGAGTGGAGACGGTGCTGAGCGGTGGTCCACGGAGCCCTCTCTGGGGCCCACTGAGGGACCCTCTGTTCTGTGGTGGCTGTCCAGGGCCTCCGTCCACTCTCCAGGCCCTCTCTGTGCAGGGGATCTCCGCTCCTTGCCCCAGGCTCCCCAGGAAGCCTTGCCCCTGCCCAGTCCACGCCCAGGCTGGCACAGCCTCTCACCTGGCACCCACCTCAGCCTCTCCCCCTCCCCCAAACAACCCTGCTGCCCCCCCATTCTGATCCTTGTGCAGGTGGTGGGCGGAGAGGCTTCCTTGAGAACCTCACAATGGTGGCCTTGTCCCAAACCCAGGGCCTGGGAACCTCTGTGGACGGAATGTCCCTCCTCTCAGCTCCCCGCCCCGTGTGTGTTTAAGGCTTGGGGACTTGAGGCAGCTTGCCTCCCGAAGACGCTATCTGATCCAGCACAAAATGACATATTTGGTTATTTTTAGTGTAACATCTGGCATTTGTCTGGGACCCTGTGGCTTGTAGAACTCCCCTGTCCAATCCCGTTGGAGAGCGCCGTCCCCTCGGCCGGCCTGCCCTGACCCACTGGCCTGAGTCCAGTTCCCTCGCACCCCTGCCACTTGGCTGAGCCCTTCCTCCATCCAAAAATGCTTCCTCTGTGGACCCTGCCACCCTCTTCTGGCCAAACGCCGTCCTTGGGGCCGCAGGTTCCTGTACCAACCCCCAAGCCCCAGCCACTGTCTCATCTCAAGATCACGTGGCCGATGGTCACATCAGTACCAGGACCAGCGCAGGAGAGCGCTGCTCCAGAAGTGCTCTGGGCTCCATCACGTGCTAGGCCCAGCTGAAACACTCAGGTTGCCCCCCACAGACATGTCCTCTGCCAGAATGTCCCCTCACCCCAGTAACGTTGGGTCCCAGCAAAGGGTGCAAGGCCTGGCCCCTGGGGTGATCAGAGTGTGGATGGGTGGGTGATGGAGGGTGGGTGATGGAGGGCGGGTGATGGAGGGTGGGTGATGGAGGGTGGGTGATCAGAGTGTGGATGATGGAGGGTGGGTGATGGAGGGCGGGTGATGGAGGGTGGATGGATGGATGAGTGGATG